GCCCATATTTGTCCCCTCTAATTTAATGAAAATGACACTCAGGTCATACAGTGTCTTCATGATGTTTTAAAGACCATTCAGATCTGATAGCTTTCCAGAAAGGGAGGGGCTTTGATGCCATGGTGAATGCTGGCGTGACGCCATGACCTTACATTTGACTGTAACTTCCACAAACGGCCTCCGATTTGCCCGAAACTGAATATGGCAATGAACAATCATGCCCTTTAGCCAATGAGGCACAAACGGTTGGTGAATGTTATATAATGTCACCAAAGCTGACCTCAATGGGACTTTTCTGTAGTTGGTCACAGCGCCACCTAGATAACGTTATCCTTCGATAACTTTAAAAAACATGGTCAGAATAGCATTAAAGTGTGTCACTGTCATCACACCACCAGTGTGGTAAAGATAGAGGATTCCCTAGTGGTGAGACATAAAATATAATGGTGGGCTCAAAGGGGATGCTGAGTCAGGGTGAGTTGCGGACAAGGTGGCCGTTAGCAGTTTCTGGTGTTGGGGTGGTCGACGTTTGTGTTCTGCGGACGTGCCCTGGTGCCCCGGGCTGCCGGCCAGGCCGGAGCGGCGCGGAGCTGCGAGGGCCGAACGACGCTGCTTGCAGCTTTAATTATTTTTTGTTATTCCGTGCCCCCTTTGAACAGCTTTTTGGGGACCTTAACATACCCCAAAACTCACAATATTTTGCAAACTTGTCAGGCCTGGTGAAAAATTTGATATTTTAAAGGTCACAAAAAAATCGCAAAGAAAATGGCTGAACAGCGCCCCCTACAAAGTGAAAAAAAAACCCTCTCCATAAAGCTTAGTTTATCGTACAGTTATGAAATTTGGTACATTTATAGTACTAAACAGTCCGCACAGAAAAGTCTCTTGCATGCATGGTCAATATCAAACAGGAAGTCGGCCATTTTGGGTTGAAATGGCGATTTTTTGCCGTTTTGGCCCTTTTTAGGGTCCGTTTCTGATTGGATTGCTCGATCATTTTTTGCACGATCGTCTCAAAAATTGTGTAAAATTGCTCAGAAGGGATGGGCGAACAAAATGAGACAAAGATTCTGACTTTTCGTACATGTTGAAGGGGCGGGGCCAGGCCTCGAAGTTTGACTACTCGCCAAAAAATTTTAAATTGCTATAACTTCATAACTGAAAGGAATAGAATTACCAAACTTTCTGTGGTCATTCGTCATCCAGCCACAAAGTAAATTGAATGGTCGGATGATGACATCACACAAGCCCCGCCCCCTCAGGACCAAAAAGGTCAAGTTTTACTGTGAAAGGTCCCAAATTGCCCCATTTCACTTAATCACCACAAACTTGTAGCTGTTAACTCAAGACAAGTGGAGGTTGCTTGGCGTCACTTTATGGGAGTTTTCGGCAGAAGGTGGGGCTGTGGCGGCGCGGCGAAGTCAGGCGTACCGCCATGGCCTTACGTTTGCCTTCCATTTCGTCATTTCTAAAGATATCGTCACGAAACTTGTTGTGAGTGATCCTAGTCCGGCCCCTCAAAAGATCTGATGTGAACATCCGGTGGGCGTGGCCTATTTTCTGAAATAGCGCCCCCTAGGACCATTAAAACTGTCAGCCCCAAGCCATGCTTTGACTGAGGAGTACGAAATTTGGTACACTAATGTGGTGTCTCAGGACCTACAAAAAAGTCTCTTGGAGCCAAGTGCAAAGTTGCACAGGAAGTCGGCCATTTTGGTCCAAGTACGCAATTTAGTGGTTTTCGCACACGTTGTTTGGAGAGTGATGCTCCGTCGCCATTTTCACCAATCTCCTTCAAACTTCTGCCATCTGCTCTTAAGACATAGAGGAAAAAATTCAACCGTCGGATTTTTCAAAAGTTGAAAGGTGTGGGCGTGGCTAAGCCTCAAACTTTGACCTGTCGCCGCGCCACTCTTTTTTTCACAGCTCCCTACTGGACTCCTTTTACCCAATCAGCAGGAGTCTCTGGCAAATAGCAGTAGACAACTTGAGGTCACTTGGTCTCCAGTACTGGAAGGTTTCAAAAAAAGGCAGGGCTTTGGGAGCATGGCGAAAATCGCCATCACGCCATGGAAATACGTTTGCCTCTCATTTCTTCATTTATCGTGATATCATTACGAAACTTCTGGTGAGTGATCCTAGTCTGACCCCAAAGAGACATAGACAGCTGAAATATGTGGGCGTGGCCTAATTTCTGAAATAGCGCCCCCTAGGACCATTTAAACTAATAGCCCCAAGCCATGCTTTGACTGAGGATTACGAAATTTGGTACACTAATGTGGTGTCCCAGGGCCTACAAAAAAGTCTCTTGGAGCCAAGCACAAAATTGCACAGGAAGTCGGCCATTTTGGTCCAAGTACGCGATTTAGTGGTTTTCGCACACGTTGTTTGGAGAGTGATGCTCCGTCGCCCTTTTCACCAATCGCCTTCAAACTTCTGCTATATACTCTTAAGGCATAGGGGAAAAAATTCAACCGTCGGATTTTTCAAAAGTTGAAAGGTGTGGGCGTGGCTAAGCCTCAAACTTTGACCTGTCGCCGCGCCACTCTTTTTTTCACAGCTCCCTACTGGACTCCTTTTACCCAATCAGCAGGAGTCTCTGGCAAATAGCAGTAGACAACTTGAGGTCACTTGGTATCCAGTACTGGAAGGTTTCAAAAAAAGGCGGGGCTTTGGGAGCATGGCGAAAATCGCCATCACGCCATGGAAATACGTTTGCCTCTCATTTCTTCATTTATCGTGATATCGTTACGAAACTTCTGGTGAGTGATCCTAGTCTGACCCCAAAGAGACATAGACAGCTGAAATATGTGGGCGTGGCCTAATTTCTGAAATAGCGCCCCCTAGGACCATTTAAACTAATAGCCCCAAGCCATGCTTTCACTGAGGATTACGAAATTTGGTACACTAATGTGGTGTCCCAGGACCTACAAAAAAGTCTCTTGGAGCCAAGCACAAAATTGCACAGGAAGTCGGCCATTTTGGTCCAAGTACGCGATTTAGTGGTTTTCGCACACGTTGTTTGGAGAGTGATGCTCCGTCGCCCTTTTCACCAATCGCCTTCAAACTTCTGCTATATACTCTTAAGGCATAGGGGAAAAAATTCAACCGTCGGATTTTTCAAAAGTTGAAAGGTGTGGGCGTGGCTAAGCCTCAAACTTTGACCTTTCGCCATTACTTGACTTAATAACTCCCATGTGCATGATCAGATCTTTTTCGAACTTTGTCTGTGTGATCATTGACCATATCTGTAAACAATGACAATGTGGACAGCTGACATCATCTAAGCCCCGCCCCCTGACTAAAGGAAGTTATTATTTTATGCTGAAATGCCCATATTTGTCCCCTCTAATTTAGTCAACATGACACCTAGGTCATGCACTGTCTTCATGATGCTGTAATGGCCATTCAAATCTGATAGCTTTCCAGAAAGGGAGGGGCTTTGATGCCATGGCGAATTCTTGCGTATGCCGTAACCTTACAATTCAATTTAATGGTGAGCTCAGAGGGGATGCTTAGTCAGGGTGAGGTGCGGACTAGGAGGCCATTTGCTGTTTCCGGTGACGGGATGATTGACGTTTCTGTTCTGCCAGACATGCCCTGGTGCCCCGGGCTGCCGGCCAGGCCGGAGCGGCGCGGAGCTGCGAGGGCCGAACGACGCTGCTTGCAGCTTTAATTTTAGTTTTGTTTTTATTTTTGTTCAGCGCCTCATTATTTTTATCTTTAGAGGTGCTTTATAAAAGATTGTTCTTCTGTCTTTGTGTTCATGTTCACAGCTTCATTCATTCATGCAATACAGTGGAGGAAAGCCACTGTACAAATACAATATTTTCCATTAAAATTATGAGATCAGGAAAAGAGGCAAAGTACAACGCTTCATCTAGATGTTGGCTTTACTTCCTGAAGAAGAAAATATCATTTCTATAGCACCTCTCAAGATAAAAATCATGAGGCGCTTCACAAAAACAAAAAAAAATGTAAAAATATAAAAAAGCACTTAGAAAATGTTTAAAAACATATTTTAAATGAGCAAAAATAGGCAATTGGGATTTAAAAGAAACAATGTTAAGAAAGAGAGAGAGTAAACATGAAAGAGGGAAATCAGTGGATCATGAGGAAGGTGGAATAGGTGGGGAGAGCAGAATAAAGAGAGAGTGGTGAAGAAGGTCATACAAAAACCAGCTTGAACAAGTGAGTCTTCAGCTGCTTTTTAAAGGAGACCACTGAGTCCACTGATCTCAGGCTCAGGGGGAGAGAGTTCCAGAGTCTGGGGGCCACAGCAGCAAATGATCTGTCACCCTTGGTCTTTAGCCTGGTGCTGCACAACCAGTAGGCTTTGATCACTGGACCTCAGGGACCTGCTGGAGGCTTAGAGACTGAGAAGATCACAATGTATGATGGTGCTTGTCCATGTAAGGCCCTATAGACCAGTACCAGGATCTTGAAATGAACCCTGAAGTTGACTGGCAGCCAATGAAGCTGGAGGAGAAGCGGGGTGATGTGGGTGTGTTTGGAGGACTTGGTCAGAAGCCGAGCACAGGCATTCTGAACCACCTGTAGACGGTTCAGGGAGGTTCTGCTCAGACACGTGAAAAGAGAGTTACAGTAGTCTAAGAGTGAGGGGGTGAAGGTGTGGATAACTGTCTCAAGTTCAGAGCGGGACAGAATGGGACTCAGCTTAGCAATGTTGCTGAGACGGAAGAAGGAAGAGCGAACAAGAGAACTGACATGAGAATCCTGGTGTCTAAGTGCAGCTAATGAGACAAAGATATAGGTTTTTCCCTACATCTTTAGCAAAAGGTACATTTGTAGATGTGTTTTAACTCATTGAAAAGCAGAATAAATTAAAATAAACGTTTCCTTTGTGCCCCAACCTACATAGTTGTGGATAAATCATGAAAGTGATCATGCAGACCGATTCTGATTATTTCAGAAGTGAGCACATGACTGCATGCCACTGAACTGAAGTGTTTTGCATTTTAAGGGTTTGAAAGAACTACCTCATCTTTCTTTGGCTCTTCCTTCTCGACTTTGACCAGTGGTTGCTCTGATTGGGGGAGGTAGCTTTTATTATTAATGGCTTCAAACAGCTTATCCACAAATGGCTGGGTCTCTGAAAGAAAGTACATGTGATAATCGTGTGATTATTACTTCCATTAAAGATGGATGAATAAATATAACAAAGAGAAATGTGGAAAAATCCAAAGTACTTTACCTTTTTGGAGAAAAACATCCAGTTGATCTACACACAAGGCTTTAAGCTCCTTTTCGCTTTTGTCCTTCTTCACTAGAGCAACAACATACTTAGCGAGTGCAGATGGGTCAGCATCACATCTAAATGTTAGAGGAGAAATGTTCGTCAACATCGATGCCGCAGCATAACATGTAATAAATGCCAAACGTGCAATCCATGTGTTAGATATTTTTGCAAAAGAACGACAACTCGTGTAACTGATACAAAAGTTATAATGCAGAGAGGCGTGTTGAGCATGGCACTGCTAATGCTAAGTGGTACACTTACATGGGCTCAAGGGTTTCAGACAGCCATGTTTTCAAACCATCAATGTTGTCAATGATCATCTTAAATCAGGTCGAACCTTCCAGTTACCACATCCAGAGTTGAAGGATTCGATGCTACTTATCAATTTACATGAATAAGCGACATCAGCTAGAGAAACTTTCCACTTCAGTGCAGGATTCGGCAGCTCTGATGATCACGCTCCGTTAGCCGAAGTTCCGAAATGACACCACAGACATACGCTGGTTAGCTTAGCATCTGTTATGCTGGGCCAAAATACGCACCGCACGATTTCTCAAAAGTTTGTATTTATCTTCTAAACAAATTTCACGTAAATAAATCATATCTCCACGTAAAACACATAAACAATGTCACTTGATACTGATTTTTGATCGTTAAAAAGATGTAGCATCCACGTTTTTAGATGCTATTTCGTATCCGAGTATTTTACTTCCGTTTAAGTTCTCGTTGAAACGTTCCCGAAATATCGCGCGAGAAAGTGATTTGCCACACTGCTGTCAGTTAATTGGTTTTCAATAAAGTTTAGTGATTATATTTCATTAAACAGAAGACAAACTTATTATGCTGTGTCATAATAACTTTTAATTTTATATTTATTAAACGTGGACTTGTTTAACTAAATAGTCTAATGTAAAGACAAGAAAATAAAATAAAATTAATGCAGATAATGAAAATGTCTAGCTTCTCAAAAGAGGCTATCATGTTGCAGTGACTGAGATAAATTAATGAACTGGCGAATCGAAATTCTGGATACTGTCAAGTCAATGGGAACAGTGAAGTCAACTCACATTTGAGTTTACTAACTTTTCTTATCATAGACTTCTAATTTTCACTGCAAATTTCTAAAGCAACGCTTAGCACAACTGGTGCAGCCTCTCCAAAGGCTCTCCAACATAAGTCTCTCCTCTGACAGGATCCTGAAGCAGTGGAAGACATCCTGTTTCATTCCTGTGGTGAAGATAGAGCAGCCAGCTGGGATAAATAATTATCAACCATTTGCTCTGACATCACAAATTATGAAGAAAGAAAGAAAGAAAGAAAGAAAGAAAGAAAGAAAGAAAGAAAGAAAGAAAGAAAGAAAGAAAACAATCTTTCATATAGTGCTTCTCAAGATAAAAATCACAAGGTGCTTCACAAGAAAAAATTTTAAACATAATATATATATATATTGTTTTCATTAAAAAATAAGGTTAAATGAGAAATAATTTAAAATAACAAAATTTGATTACAAATGTAAGAAAAGGGGAAAGGAAAAGTAATGGGAATGAGGGAAATCAGCGGATCCCAGGAAAGGCAGAATTGGTAGAAAGAGCAGAATAAGGAGAAGGTGGTGATGAAGGTCACACAAAAACCAGCTTTATTGGGTGAATTTTCAGCTGCGAATTTAAAGGAGACCACTGAGTCCATTTAAACCATTATGTCAACTTCAGCCCTTTCAGAAAGACACCATCCATCCATCCATCCATTTTCATCCGCTTATCTGGAGTCGAGTCACGGGGGCAGTAGCCTATGGCGAGAGGCCCAGACTTCCCTCTCCCGAGCCACTTGGGCCAGCCCCTCCAGGGGAATCCCAAGGTGTTCCCTGGCCAGGTGAGAGACATAGTCCCGTGTCCTGGGTCTACCTTTAGGCCTCCTTTCGGTTGGACGTGCCCGGAAAACCTCACCAGGGAGGCGTCCAGGAGGCATCCTGACCAGATACCTGAGCCACCTCAACTAGCTCCTCTTGATGTGGAGGAGCAGCGGGTCTACTCCGAGCCCCTCCCGAATGACCGAGCTTCTCACCCTATCTCTAAGGGAGAGCCCAGCCACTCTTCGGAGAAAACTCATTTCGGCCGCTTGTATCCGTGATCTCGTTCTTTCGGTCACTACCCAAATCTCATGACCATAGGTGAGGGTAGGAACGTAGATCGACCGGTAAATCGAGAGCTTCGCCTTCTGACTCAGCTCTCTTCACCACGACAGACCGGTACAACGCCCGCATCACTGCAGATGCAGCACCAATCCGCCTACCGATCTCACGCTCCAGTTTTCCCTCACTCGTGAACAAGACTCCGAGATACTTAAACTCCTCCACTTGGGGCAGGACCTCATTCCTGACCCGGAGAAGGCATTCTACCCTTTTCCGAATACAGACCATGGTCTCAGATTTACAAGAGCTGATTCTCATCCCAGCTGCTTCACACTCGGCTGCGAACCACTCCAGCGAAAGCTGAAGATCACGTTCTGATGAAGCCAACAGTACCACATCATCTGAAAAAAGCAGAGACCTGATCCTCAGGCCACCAAAACGGATGCCCTCCACACCTTGGCTGCGCCTAGAAATCCTGTCCATAAAGTTATGAACAGAATCGGTGACAAAGAGCAGCCTTGGCGGAGTCCAACTCTCACTGGGAATGAGCCCAACTTACTGCCGGCAATGTAGACCAAGCTCTGACACCGGTTATACAGGGACCTAACAGCCCGTATCAGAGGGCCTGGTACCCCATACTCCCGGAGTACCCCCCACAGTTCTGCTTGGACTGCCGGTACCCGTCAGCTGCCTCTGGAGTCCCACAGGTCAAAAGACTTGATAGGACTCTTTCTTCAGCTTAACAGCATCCCTAACCGCCAGTGTCCACCAGCAGGTTCGGGATCCTGCGACCACAGCTCCGGTCGGTTGCCTCAACAGTGGAGGCACGGAACAGACTCAATGTCCCCCACCTCCCTGGAACATTTTGGAAGTTCTGTCAGAGGTGGGAATTGAAGCTCCTTCTGACAGGAGACTCTGCCAGATGTTCCCAGCAGATCCTCGCGATATGTTTGGGCCTGCCTGGTCTGACCGGCATCCTCCCCCATCATCTGAGCAACTCACCACCAGGTAGTGGTCAGTTGACAGCTCCGCCCCTCTCGTCACCCGAGTGTCCAAGACATGCGGCCACAGGTCAGATGAAACAACAACAAAGTCGATCATCGAGCTGCGGCCTAAGGTATCCTGGTGCCAAGAGCACATATGGACACCTTTATGTTTGAACATGGTGTTCATTATGGACAATCCATGACTGGCACAGAAGTCCAATAACAAAACACCACTCCAATTCAGATCAGGGGGGCCGTTCCTCCCAACCACACCTCTCCAGGTCTCCAGTGTCAGAAAGACGCATAACAATTATAATTGAAATTAAGTTTTTATTGTTTTCCAGTTTCACATCAACTACAGGCAAAACATCAAAGACACATTTGGAGATAAAAACAAGATAAAAAATGTTAATTTACTCTCTTTCCATCCAACATAATCCTTGTAACAACTTGCTTTTTTCCCTTTGCAACAAACTATCGCAGACTTATGTTCATCCTTAGTAAAAAAAACAATATTCAGCCCATCACAAACCTCTTTGATTGCTAGAAAACTTTGACACAGGCAGCATAAAAAATATAAGCACATTCCATGAGCCTCAGAAATAAGAGAAATGCCTTATCTTATTATTTTTTTAATTTTTTATGTTTGATTAAAAATATTATTTAATTTCTAAAAGGCTTCAAACACACACACACACACACACACACACACACACACACACACACACACACACACACACACACACACACACACACACACACACATATATAGTTTACATCATAATTCCTTACAATGTTAAGGTTTTTTCAGAGTTGGAATGGATTTCATGTAATAGCTATACACTTCCACAAGTCAAATTTAAAGTCTCAGCGAAATGTTTTCAACCTGTAACTTTGGTTTGCATTAAAGACAAACATAATTATTGAATAAGGTTCACTCAGCAAATCGCAGCTCGTTTAACAGCTGCCCCTGTTCAGTGATTTGTTTTCTCAAAATCATTCAAGCGTGTAAAGGAACACACTATTAACCAACATTCAAGCATACATTAAACCATTTTTCCCCATACATGCATATTATTATAAAATACAGTTCCTGCACAGAGAGAAGTTCAATCTTCTGCTCACCATTTGGACTCTGATGGATAAAGGGAGCTAAAGTAGCTGCAGTGGTTCTCGCCAGTATACATTCAAAACTGTGTTTTAATTGTTCACATGGCATTTGTGTCCTAAAAAACAGGCTGGATGAAATTCTGGCCTGAATAAAAAATATTCTAGAAGCAGTGATGATTCAGCACCTTAGTGTCCAGCAGAGGAAAGCTTAGAGAGAAGAGTCTGTCTAGTTTTCTCTTCCGATGAACTGCAGGTTGATGGGAGCCCCAGGGCAGAGCAGGCCGTGGGTTTTGGCCTTGACCTCTGTGGTGAGAGGAGACACCCCTATGCGGAAATGTTGAATGAGCTGCATAAGGAGCAGAAAGAAAACAAAATGTGCAAAGAGGTCAGAATTTAGTGACACATAACAACAGTTTGATTCATGAAAATAAATATCTCAGGTATTTTTATAAATCTGTCAGTCTCAGTTGTTTACATAGAGGGGATGGGATGTAAAATGTGGTACGCACCCAGCCACTAGAGGGCGTTTTGTATTATGTTCATTTCATTTTCCATGTTAACCCTTTGCAGAGAAAGCAGCCATATTTAAAAGTTAGAGCATTCTTTACATCTTGATTTTCAATGGAAGCGTATGTGGCGTGTAACTTAATAGATGTGTTTTAACCATGAGCTCCCTTCCCACTGTGAGCGTTTCAGATACAAAACAGCAGCAAAAGTGTTCCACGGTCCCATGAGGTCACCAAATCACCAGAGAATTGCAAGGCCGTGCCTGATTTCAGCAGGTCAAGAACAAGCAAGGAAAAAGATGACAGCATGTCTCCAAAAAGGTCTGTGGTTTATTTTTTTGTTGTTGCTGTTCTGTTTACTTCGGCAACAGAGTTTTCACAGGAACAGACATACTTTTTTTTTATCAGTTAAGCAAATGGAAATCTGCTCATGACTTTTATTTTGAAAATTTAGATATTTTACGCTGCTTTCGTGTTTGACTTCCCATGTAAAAACTAAACATGAAGCATAAGGAACGCATCCTCACGCTCCTGGGACACTTACAAAAGACAACACATTGCAGTTGGTGGAAAGGCCTGGTTAGCCACAAAAAATTACAAAAAACTAACAAAAATAAAAACTTAAAGGTGCAAAACAATAAAACCCCAGTTAAACGCTTTTAACTCCCAACTTTTCAGTGGGTACCCTTTAACGAGTTAATGCTCAGAAGTCAGTGGAGTTTTAGGAAAAAGGAGTTAAAGTAAAACTTTGGAATACTGTACAAATAAAATCTCACACTGAAAGAAAATATTTTATTTAATATAAGTGTAATTTTCTTCAAAAAGAAATTCTCAGCCAGTAACTAAGTGTGTACTAAATGTATTTGTTTTCTTTGATGTTTGAGTACAAATGATCAAAATCTACAATAAAATACAATTGTAAATAACCACAGTTCCAAAAAGTTGTTATTAAAAAGTATAAAAATATTCACTTAATTGCACACACTTACAAGCCTTTTATGCATAAAATCACAATTTAATCGCATTTTTAAAAATGTTTTAATTTTTCTGATATTTCTAAATCATTTTCATTTTTTCAATTGAAGCGCCTCCTGATTTTCATTTTGAGAGGCGCGATGTAAAAGATCGTTTTCTTTCTTTCTTCTTTTAAAGTTCCTAAATGTTAGTATGCAGTCAAGTGGAAACATAATTAATGTGTTGAAATTAGGGGTAGAACTCGATTAAAAAAATTAATCCAATTAATTAGAAGCTTTGTAATTAATTAATCTTAATTAATCTTAATTAATCGCTCAAAAAATGGCCCCAAAAGCTCATTTTAAAAATTTTAAATAATGAGGTAGAGAATCAAACAATAGAAATGCACATTATTAATGTAAACTCAATCTATTTTAATTTCTAAAAAATGCTTTTAAATTGTACTTCAATTCAAAACAGGAGCGTAAAGTTGTTTTACGTCATGCATAAAAAACGTGCTGGGATAGGGTTAGCTATTCCAGAAGCTTCACCATGCAGCCTTTAGGCTGATTGGTCAATTTGGATGATTGACACTTCTATTGTATCGGTAGGGCCAATAGAATGAAATGTTACTCAATAAAATTAGATTGACAGCTTAATCAGCCAGTGAGACTCGTCATAACACAGACAACAGCTACAAAGATTTCAGAACTAAAATAGAGACCATGAGCTGTAAATCAAATGGTGTAGCTGGCACTATTTAGTTAGAACGCGTTGTGTTTAAATGTTTCCATGGCAACGACGGAAGTCCGCTTCAACCCTCAGTGTGACAAAAGAGGTAGGACTAAAGTAAACAATGGGAAAGTCTACATATAGCAAACTTTTCAAGAAGAACATTTTTTGACAGATGTGCTGGGGGGGGGGGGGGGGACTCTGTTTTTGTTGCTCTCTGGCTTGTATTTTTGTGAAACTTAGGTGTAGAGTAATGAGAGAGATATATTTAGAATCAGAAGGGCATTGGCTTCAAAATGAGTGGATATGTGTGTAAAATGTGATTTTTAGCAGCGTCAGAGACTGAAACGATGGTAAAAACACTCACCCATGAAGAGGGATTTCTGATTACTCGTAATTAAAGCTTTAGTTGTGCTTTGAGAAATTAAAAAAGGTTTGCATGAACTTGTGGATAAAGGTTCTGATGTTTTTCTAGAGGTGCAGCTTGACAATATTTATTTATATTTAGGGCATATATTTTGCTGCTAAGCTTCAATGCCCCCCAATTGGGAGGCCCTCATGTTAATTTTTATTAACGTGTTATTTCTTTTAATTAATTAATCATTATTAACGCATTACATCCCCACCCCTAGTTGAAATATATACATTTAAAGTAAAATTTCTATTGTTGAGTAAATTACGTTCCTACCCTTGTGAGAGCTAAATGCATCTCCAGTTCTGCGATCCTCCTGCCAATGCAGCTCCTGATGCCGTAGCCAAAGGGGATGGAGCCAAAGTTGTCGACTCGGTCTGTAGCTTCTTTCCGTACCCAGCGATCTGGTTGAAATTCTGAAGCACTGGCAAAGTTCTCATTGTCCATAGATGTGGAGTAGTGGCACAGGGCCAACTGAGTCTAACAAAGAAAAAAGTACCAGTCATGTAATGAAAACAGCTGGGTTATTGTACTTTCATTCACTCACATGAGAACAAAAAGATGTGAGTAATGTCGGATCATGTTACATCTGGTTCTAGTTTATAGCTTTTGGCTTCTACAGAAGGTTTTTTTTTCCTTCAGCACATGTACACTGAAAAAGCGACTGTGGTCTTACCCCTTTGGGGATGAAGTATCCGCCCACCACCAGGTCATCCTGAGTAATCCGTCCATTTCCTGGGAGAACTGGGAAAAGCCTGCTCCCAAGATGGGACACACAAAGACTGTTATTCAACAGGACTGTACACTGGGCTAAGCTTTTCATAAAGACTCACTCTAAAGATCATCAGACAAGGGAAAACGGAAGGGAGAGACAATTACCAAACTAAAGATAGATACGTGAACATTCTTAACACAACTAGCCACTACTTTTTATAGTCTCTAAAGCTTTGGGTGGACTATGAAAGTCACAAGAGGGAGCAAACTGAAAACAAAGACAATGTTTGCAGTGCATACCTGAGAGTCTCTTTCACAAGCCCTCTGATGAGAGGCAGGCGTGGGACATCGTCAGCTGTGGGGACTGTACCAGGCCCCAGAGTCTGTGTGACTTCGGCATAAATTTGCTCCTGTACGTCAGGGTGTTGAGCTAACAGATAGCAGGCCCAGGACAGGGTGAAGGAGGTCTGGAAAATAAACATTAAGCTATTAAAACTGAGTTATTTTCAAATGCCTAAGGTTTATGTGCAGTTCCTTTGCTCTTCTATAAACTCTTTGAATATAAACTACCTGGCACCACCCAGGTCAAAAAAAGGGTCACATACTATAATACTTAGTTGGACTGCCTTTAACTTTGATTATGTCACGCATTCACTGTGTTATTGTTTCAATAAGCTTCTGCAATGGCACCAGATTCATTTCCATCCAGTGTTGCACTGATGATGGTAGAGTCTGACCGCTGCACAAAGTCTTCTCCCACCTACGGATCCAAAGATTCTCAGTAGGGTTAAGGTCTGGACTCTATGGTGACCAATCCATGTGTGAAACTGATGCATCGTGTCCCTGAACCACTCTTTCACCATTTGAGCCCGTGAAATCCCGTGAAACACTTCTATAATATTGCACAAGAGAGCAACGTGAGCTTTGAAAAAAAGAACAACTCGCCCTTTTGCCCATTATCTTTCATCATACTTCCCTCTCATCCGTCCGTCCTTTGGCTAAAAGCACTCAGATGTGCCACACCCTAACCACAGCAGTCAAATTTCCATTTTAGTCATGAAGTGAAACAAAAGTTTATCAAGTCATACATGTTAGAATGTCAACACGAAGCACAATCTTTCTGCTAAATCCTTCCTCATCAGAAATGTGACCTTTTCCATCTCAGACAGCAGTGACTCACGTGTCCCTGACATTTCCATTCAAATGAGGGCAGATGACCAAATGATATGGAAATGGCTTTCCCACTCGCTCCCATGTTGCAGAGTAACATCTGCTCAGCCTTGCCCTCCCCCAGCACGTTTCTGACATCCTGTCGATCTTTTCTTCCAGCCCCCTCACTTCTCCACCAACATGACATTTACAGATATCAGTATGGAAGCCGTGTTTTTGCACATGTTAAATGTGGTGGTCCTGAGAGGTAAGAACGAGGTCAGAGCCTCCAACAGGGCTGACTAATGATCCAAACAAGCATCTATACTTGGGTATGTCTTTTGTCAGAGCCTCCCCCTCTCACTTTGTCATTCTCTCCTCATGCCACATCCTTCTGATCAATCTCAGCTGGCACAGCTTGCTAACAACCCCCCATGTTCCAATAAAAGACGAATTATAGCAAAATCTAATCCAAGCCTCTCAAAAGCTCAGGCCTTTCCTTTTAGTGCCCCATGTCTCTTCCTTTCCAAAATCACCCATCACACACCCAGCTTTCTTTTCCTTCCTTCTTCTCTTGCCAATTCCCAGCTCTGTCCTCCCATCCAACGCTTTACACCCCCTCTCCCATCATCTCACCTCTGCCCAGGCTGTGCTATAACTCTGGCTGTGGCTAACTCATCCTGACAGATCTTGTGTGTGCTGACTAAAGACAGCTGCACCAAAGGGTCAGGTAATGGCATAGCTAGGCCCACCCCCACGGGGATGCGACCGATTCAAAAGAATCAACAAAAACACAGACACCCTTTTATCCGGTGGCCCCAAGCGTAGCACAAACCACTCTACATCAATAATTCTCATTAATCTGACAAGACCCCAAACAAATTAGGCAGTAACTACAAACACGCTCAGTCGCAGCAGCCAACCGAATAAAAGTTTAATAAGAGTTGAACGTTTCCTGTAAACCTCTTTAATTTGGTGTCTGTTGGAGTGTAAATTTAATTAATCAGTTTCCCTTTCTACCAATTCTGCACTAAATCTGCCCTAAACAGGCACAAATTCCCCCAAAACGTGATTCACCAAAGGCACTAAACCTGCATCTTTAATTACTAGCGAGGGCAACTGTGTTTCTAATTAAGTGCTAATGAGGAAATATCTGAAACACACAACACAGATGTCTGACAAAGGAAAACAAGGACAAAAGGACCCCTGCAGACCTAGCAGACAGGGACAAATGACTAGAAACCAAATCAGAGTGAGAACACGTTTGTCAACGGGACACTGTGTGACCTCCGGATTCATTACTCTGACCCTACTCTGGCACAGCTACACAGGCAACAGCTACGGTGCCAGAAACCTAACTCCTGAAGCTAAACAATGACTCAGAGACACCCAGCACACACACACACACATGCATGCACGCGTGCAAAGCTCTTTGCCTCCTGATGATCTACAAGAACTCTTCAAATCTCTTTGCTAAAATTAAAACTCTTATAATAAATAAATAGTTCACACACCGTGTCAACCCCAGCAAGGAGCATCTCTGTTACGTTTGCGTAGATCTCCTCCAGGCTCATCTCCATTGTGGTGAGCATGTGTGTAAGCAGCCCCCCCTTCACCTCCTCTCCTCGCTGCAGCTGGGCCTTGATCTCTGCAAACCGGTTATCAACGTGAATGATGCCTGCAATTAGACAGACACGCACTGGGTGAGATGAGTCCAGTTGTGGGGGACAAAAGATAAATGATGGGAAGCAAGTTATGAAAGAGTCCGATCTCCCGCCATCCTCAGCGCAGGAGTGGAGATTTATTGGTCGACCAACATGCCTTTATAATGATGTTAGACAATTTTGACCTAATCTCAGGTGTCTTTTCATTACAATGCTAAATTAGATGTGATTCAACAGTTTTATACATTTAAAACGTGCATGTCAGCCAAGAAAAACTTTTAAGAGGCATGCAAGACTTTACACTTTTTTTTTAACTTTCATTTTCAAGGGCAATAAAAGTTTCAATCCAATGTAGGGTTATAAAACTAACAATAATAATAATAATAATTTTAATTTTAATAATAGTATTTTTATTCCAAAAGCCCATATTTTACATATATCTGTGATTTTAAGATGTAAAATTCAAAAATACTTCAAAGGGTAACATTTACATTAAAAGAGATTATTATAGATTTTTTTTCTAAGTTGTTATATTTCTATGGTCAATACAAACATGTTTATCGGGTTCTTTTCAGCATGTTTATTCTTGGCATACCAGAATTAGCCGTTTGAGGGTTCCTTCACTTTAGGAAAGCAACGCTGGTGCTGGCCACGCCCACCCCTCTCCCACTTAGGCTGAGAAACACTGATATCCAGGAGGGGCTCGGAGTAGAGCTGCTGCTCCTCTGGCAGAAGCTTCTTCTTGCACATGAGAGGTTTTTCTATGCTAACTTCTCCGTTTGTGATGTCACAAAGCAAGGGATATTTGAAATGGCTCATTTTAGGCTCATAATCCCTGAAACCAAACACTGACAGAACATGGATGGACAGATTTTTTTTTAAGTTTGGAGTGTTTATAGTGGCAGTAGAGACCCACAGTATAAAAGGATGCAAAAGGTGAGCTTTGCTTAATAATAAATGTTTGGAATCATGCAATCTATGAAAAAAAATCTTAAAACAAGTAAATTAAAAGTATTTTGGTGTATACTGTTGTTTTTATTACTGTTAATATTATTATTTTGATTATTATTGTTATTAATGTTATTGATATACTAATAATAATAATAATTAGTAGTAGTAGTAGTAGTATTAATAATAATAATAATAATAATAATAATAACAATATTTATAGTAGTAGGAGTAGAAGTAAACCGCTTACTGAATTTGAAAAGTCCATCCCAGGAGGCACAGAACTCTTCCCATGGTTTGGGAATAATGGGACGGAGCCACTTAGGGATCGCCCCGGCATACATGGTTGTCTTGAAGGAGCTGAACATGAGGTTCAGGGCAGCAATGTAGTCTTGGGTTTTCTGGGGAACGTTGTTCTCCAAGCATCCAAGTCTACACTCGTACAAAATCGCAGCCACACCTGGAAAAGCAATCGTTATCAGTGACTTGCAAGACGCTGAGCTGATTTTAAGAGAGGCAGGAGGAAAAAAATGGTTTGCTAGTATTTCTCTGGATCTTTACCAACCTTCCATGGCATATTTAAAGAAGAGGTCATTCACATTCATCACAGACGTGCCATCTGACTGCTGCCCTCTCAGACAATCCACTCTCTTGATCAAGTCGTCCACCACTTTGTTCACATCATCAGAGAAAACCGCCACGTCACGCGGGCGCATGATGAGCTGCCTGAGCACACTCCTCATCTGCAGCCATTCCTCTCCCTCCCTGGAAAACAGATGGCAACAAAACCAACACATCAGCAACACTCAGGAGTTTGTCACTAAGGTTCAGGAGATCAAAGGTCGAGGAAGACTCACGCTGAGATGAGCCCCGTGGCACGGCCCCTCATGTCTCTATACTCGTGCCAGGACTCCATGTTGGCTCTCTGAGGGGCCACCCCCTCAGCCCGCAGCACCTCTGCTACCAAATCACGATCTGCTATGGAGACCACCAACTGGGGCCCGAAACGGGACTTGAAGATCTTTCCATACTTCTTTGTGTGCTCCAACTATAAAATAGCAATGGCACCAGAGAAGAAGGGAACTCACTTTAAGACACAAACCAAACCTTTTGAAATTGAAGGTTCTTGAAATCTCTTAAAATGCTTATTAATGTATGGTATTACAAGTATCAACAGATCTGTGTTATAATGCAAAAACCCTTGTGGGATGTTGGTAAATGAAACACAGTAAAAATGTGGTCATCAGTAAAAGCCTCTTTATATTTACAACAAATAAACTTTTACAAATTTAAGAGTAAATAAATTGCTTATTATGGTCTTCACAAACTTTGAAGCAAGTAACAGCGGCACCAATAAAAAAATCACATTAGCTTTTAAATGTGTGAACAAAAAAGAAATTTAAGTCCTTATTTCATTCTGTTTTGGAGGACATAAAAGGTTTTTAAAAGTTACACTTTTAAAGCAAGATCACTTACATTTTTATTTTATTTTATTTTTTTGGGCTGAGTTTTATGGGAAAACTCTTTTAACCCTTAAGGACCTGTGGTGACTGTTATCAGCCCATTTCAAGCATCTGCAAAATTACTTCTTACCGCCTCTGTTATTGTGCCCCAGGACAGCTGTGGCTACATTGTAGCTCATCCCCACCAGGGTGTGAATGGGTGAATGACTGATTGTGTTGTAAAGCGCCTTGGGGGGGGGGGGGGGGGGGGGGGGGGTTCCAAGACTCTAGAAGGCGCTATTTCAAATACAGGCCATTTTTCATCTTCTTGAGTCATATATTTGACAGCCCCAAATGATATTCTATCCATACATACATCATACATGATTTTACTTCTTTTATTTATTTAAAATGTTCTTAATGTTGATGTATTTATTCTTGTTTCCCATTTTAAAGGGGCTTGGGCTCTTAAGGGTTAAATATTAAAACTGTTTCGAGATTTAATGCTTTTAAACCTTGTAAACTAACTTGTGTCTTCCACGTTGTTTCATGAAAGAAAGAAAGAAAGAAAGAAAGAAAGAAAGAAAGAAAGAAAGAAAGAAAGAAAGAAAGAAAGAAAGAAAAAGAAAGAAAGAAAGAAAGAAAGAAATACTTTTTTACAATGACACTCGGGCTCCTGGTGCGCTTTTACGCAACAACGCGCCATTCAACTCGTTACACGGCAACTTTACCTCTTATGAAAACACAAAAAAACTTTATGACTTAATTTGGAAAAACAAATAAAATAAAAGGCGAAAATATAGTTGTTGTTTTTTTTTTTTTACCTGGATCTCATGGATTCTGCCGAATCCGTCTCTCCAAAAGAACTCGATCAAGTTGGAGAGGGTGTTGGGTCCGGGCATCTCCGTCAGACTCTTGATTCTCGTCTCTGAAACGGTGGATTGTTTGTCATCGGTCTCCGCCGCCGCCGCCGCCGGTTGGACCAGTCTGCCAGACATGGCCTCCTCTGCGGTTGCGGGGATCTCCAGAGCCTCGCTGGCCGCAGACTTGTGCAAAGAGCGTGAAAGAAAAACCAGCTGCTCATTCAGCAGGCCCACTTGAAAATTCTTCCAGCAAGTTATCGGGAAACGTCTCAGCATTGCCATTATTGGAGATTCTGTCAGGCGCCCCAGAAACCAAGGATGATGCGTCCGCAATCCAGACAGCGCAAATTTCTGCACATGAAACAAAGCAGACAGAATTGCATCCAGCAAGGCTTTTAAATAGTGTCCTGCTCACCCTGGGTGGATGAGGATTGGACGATCCCTCTTGAAGTAGGGAGGGATGTGGGCGTTTCTCCTAAAACTTCTTTTCTGAAAAGGGGTGCAGAACAACGTGCCTGGTCATCAGTTACATCACACCGATCAATCATGCGTGTGCGTACGTGCACTATTCTGCAATCTGCACTTCTTCTTCCCCATGGGGACACTCCTGATCTCATTATCCAGAACTTCAAGCAAGAAAAATTAAAACCTAGTCAAATTTTTTTTACCAAATTTTAATAAAAATGATATTTATTTTCAAAAGTTCCTTGGGCAGATTACTGTAATCCACTTGCTGTTAAAGTTGGAGTTCAGCAGGATTTTGCTCTGCATCAAGGTAAAACCCCGAAACGCTGTAAAATAAACTATCTGGAAAACACGTTAGTTTACATTATTTAGGGATTCAAAAATACATTTTTCAAGTCTTTTTCAAGCAGTTATGCACAGGTATTGAAAATTAGTGGTGATAAATCTACATTTTCCTCCCTCCTTTCTTGCCATGTGCTTCAGCATCATCACTGGCTGTCTAGCTCAGTGGGGGTTTATCAGATATATTGTACTAGGGTGCAGAAAATGAATGCAGGATACTTCAAATTCTGAGCTATTGCAGTCCTTTTCGCATATACTGCAATGATGACGACTTCATGGTGTGTTGTGTGCGTTTAAACGTTTTACAAAATGCAATGTGTAATGATAAATTCACGATTGTTTTATTGAGATGGACATTAAACAAAAGAGCATCAGCTTATCTGAATCAGAGGGTTTTTTTCTTTAAAATTGCTTTTCCAACCTGAACTTGTCAGAGTTTTGTTCAAAAGCCCAAACTAAGAAAGTAAAGCCTTACACTCTTTTTTTAAATGTCCCAGGACACCTTTTGAGGACAGTAATCAGAACATCTTAGATAGGAGTTTTAATTGTGGTAATTGTGGTTCAGTTGGATTTCCTATCATCTCATTTTTCACTCAACCGACACTTTAAATCCGGTAAGCCTCGGGTCTCCTAAGGACACAGCATAATGACTAAGCTGACAGGCCAGTGAGGAGGAAATTGTGCTCTGCAGTGCCGTCTGGCAAAGAATGGCTGACCAGACTTGGGTATTTTCCCACACTTGCCACCCTTTTGGAGCTCACCCAAGGCAACAGGGTCTAGAATTTCTATTTGGAACGTCGTCAAGTCATTAAACAAAGGAGAGAGAGTGAAACTCCTCATGCTTCCTCTCAGATGAAAACAAGCAGTAATGTTACACATGTCTGAGACATACTTTTGTATGTTATTTGTAGTATTAGTGAAAACTGGTACAGCTTTTCTGATGCAGGAACAAAAACAATCCAGTTCATATTATTTCCTGAGGATTTAACGATTTGTTTTGTCCTGCTCTTTTTAAAAGCATTGGGTGGAAATCTAACAAGTGATTGAATTGTTTTAGCTTTATGTGGTGTGATGTTCTCGTAGTGAGGGACCTTTTTCTCCACACTCAGGGGAACCGCTGGATGTTTGGGGTTTGGATCTCCTCCATCTTCCGCAGGTCTTTGGAAGCAGGTCTTCCTCACACTCACTACTGAACACTCCTAAAAATCTTACATACACTCTTACAAGTATGGACTCGGGCGTTTTTGACATAGGGCTGTGATTGCCACTAAATGCACTTACAATTATTACTGCAAGCTTTTCACCAAAAATTGCTACTTTCATATATCCTTATGTTGCTGATGCAATGATATCTTTGTTCAGTTGTATTTTTGTGTCCCGTTTTGTTTTCTTTCTTTCTGCAGGGCTATGAGCAGATTCTTGAACTTGTTTAAAAAAATTTTTTTCACTATTTTCCTCCACCTTTAAAATTCAGACATCATATGTGAAATCCATGGTACTTAAAAAAAACAGGATTAGAAAATAGCTCCAATTGCCCCATTGACTTGCAATCTTTTTTTCACTCTTCTGGGGACCCATGAGTAGATGGCGTAGGCTCCTAATAGATGAGTCTATGATGCTTCACCTGTGACAGTAAAACTGTAAGGCTTGTTTTTGTCTTAATTTTGTCCCCCATACTGTGCCATTTATTTTCTGCACCCAAATATCAATACTGATTTTTTTACAGCCGGACAAGACACAGAAAAAAAGTGAGAGGCCTTTTTTACATTTTACAATTTATTCTACAAAATAGATTTAGTAACATTTCAAAGAGAAATCTTCTATAACATACTATTAAAATAAACAGTTTTAGGAGCAAATTAATGGACATACAAATTAAATTTATAAAACTATGAAGAAATTCCAATATTTATCATAAATAATAAACTGCTTTCTCACTCAAATAGAAAACCCAGTCCAGTTTTTTCATCTTTATGAAGAAATACTGGTGATAAAGCGGTTCTTGAAGTCTGAGGAGGAATTAGATCTACTTCCTGAAGCGTTTGAACAGTGGGTGAACACTCTTGCTTGCTGCTGAAGCCTTGCTGCCCCGGCTTTGATACTCCATGTAGATGGTGTCGTCTGCACCAGACATGGAGCTCATGGTTCCTGCTCGCCTTGAAACCTGAAAAGAAGCAGAGAAAAAGGGAAAAAGTATCAGTATAATTTTAATGTTTGTTAAACCACCAATTAGTTCCCGGGTGCGGCCGTGTCTGCCGCTCCCCACAGGGATAGGTCAAATGCGGAGATGTAATTTCACCAGTGTGTGAAATGTTAAAAACAATTAGTTTCAGTTTAAACAATTCTGTTGATTTCATATTAATTCCTGATACATAAATGCTTAGAGTTGACAAATACAGCACTTGTTGATTGGAATATCCATGCACACCAAACAAGGATATCAGTATTGAATGAATGCATCCTGCCGCTTTGCATAAAAAATAGCCACAATAAAGTATTAGAAGTCCTTGTTTGAGCTATAAAAAAGGAGATTTAAAGCTAAGTCAGAGAATATCTACCAATAATCAAAACATAAATTACATATAAACAAGATTTTATGTGCAGTCCAGATCTGTAAACAGTGTATATTAGACCCTTCATGTTTTATTACAGGCATTTTATCTTCTGATTGTCCACAGATGTTCTGGATTTTGCAAGAAAGCATTACTTCCAGGTTCCTTATTAAAAAAATTCAAGTCAGTTTCCAAAAAAAATCCTCAGAATATTGCTGAGTAAACTAATCTATTAATCTGGAATATCATCCTGAATAGTGTACTTGAGAAAGTATGACATAGTGCTCACAAACGTTCCTACTTCATTCTCTTTTCTGCTCACACCTCTAACGCAAATTTTATTTCAAATGCTGTGCACGCACATACAACTGAAAAAGTGCATGCATAACTACCAACAGCACCCAAGAGCAGAAACCACTTATTGTCAGAATTTCAGATCTGCAAATCACACAAAACAAAAGCATCTGTACTGACTGAACAAATGAGACTTCTTGAGCGTTCGGCTGCAATGAAAACTAATGTTTCCTACAGCTTCTCAGCTGTTCAACAAATGAACGTTTGAGACTTCAGGGGCATCCGTGTCTGATTTCTCCGTACCTCTGATTAGATAATCACAGTTCAGACCCAGACACACTAATCAAAGCTGCTGCATGCTCCCTCAGTCACATTTGAGGGACCAGCTCAGGCAGGTGCTTTCCCTGATCATGCTTTTCTACAGATGATTACTGTTGTGGGTTTGCTGTGCAGAAACGTGACCTCAAACATTGTTTTCCACTCACTGGACACAAGTCCACGTGCTAACGTAACACACAAGCTGTGTGTTACGTGATTATCTAAGAAAGAAGACAGAGACCTTAAATGTACTCGAGTTAGCCAAACAAATCTGTTTTGATTAATTCTAGATACTTTAAATTAAATGTAGGTTTTAAATAGTTTGTAAAATATCAGTTTCATCTTAAATCTTAAAGAAATGTTAGAACTTTTCAAGAAAGAAGTAAAGAAGACTAGCTGTAATATTCAATATTCAGATTTTATCATTTGTATTTTACTTTCTGCCCAAATAGTTGAGAATATGAGGATTTAAATCACTGTGGAAAAAACTCTGCCTCGAACTTTTTAAATCACTTTTTCTGATCGTGGTGAAGGTCCTGACCTGTGGCCGTGCACCCAATTCTCCCACCACCACCTCCTCTTCGGCATCGAGGTCCGAGGCAGCGAGGACCTTCTGAAGCAGCTGTTGCTGCTCGTCTCTGCTGGAGAACATCAGGTCTTCCTCCTCCATACCTGCTAACTTTGTGATAATCTGCAAAAAAAGGTTTAAAAAAGCATTCTTCACTATTTATTTCATAAAACAATATTTCCAGGTGAAGAAAATATCTAATACAGTTGAAAATAATACGAAAGTTTTAAATGAATATTAGTAACATTGTTTTGTTAGAATAAAGAAATCAGACGATGAAACCAAATATTTTCAAACACAATATGACACTAAATATTATTTATTGATTTTGTAGATTTTAATGAGTACTGTTTGTGTCATGGATTTTATCAATACGTTTATCAATAACCCATTTCCTATAGTGAAGAGAGAAGGAGACAATGAGCAGACAAGTCAAACAGATTTTTCCATAACAATTTGTTAAAAAATAAAATAAAATCACACATTTTGGGGGCTTAAGTTTTCTGCTTCACTACACACTCCATCAGCACATGAAGGGTTAAACAAATAGCTCAGATAAAGCTGAGTGACGATTTGGCTTTGAGAAAAACAGATTACAAACACATGGTAAGCACCTTAGTGTAGGGAGCTACACAGGTTGAGAAAGGGATTTATTCATAAGATTTGCTTCCACACGGAAAATATAAAATGATGTTTTTAATGAAAAGCTCCCAAATATTCTGCATTTCTTATGTAGAATTTTAAAATGTGATCTTACTGTAAACAGTATTAAATTATAATATTTCATGTTTATTTTTCTTTTTAACATCATTTGTTAAATGTGTGGCAAACTTATTTAATCAATACATTTGCAGTGGTCTCTTAGGAATGAATGCCTTGTAAGCTGTACTAAGGCCAGATTTTTTTTGTTTCAGCACCGACAGCGTGACAGCAGGTTTAGGAGTCTTATTTTCTGATATTTGAACATCTTGCCTCAGATTGGATAACAGTAACACAACTACACCACTGACTTGCAACAAACACAAGCCTAGAGGTGTTTTTTTGTGTGGTGGTTTTGCTAATGCTAACGGTTAGCTTTTACAAGTCGGGACATTGTGAAAACCAACAACAACAACAACAACTCCCCGTCGCGAGTCAAGATGGGTGAATCCATGAATGTTAAGTGACAGTGTGATGTAGATCTGTCGGGCTTTTCAAATCCTAGAGTTTCACCATCGTTTGTGAATGCAGGAGATAGGTGTAGGAGACGATTTTAATGTTTAGCCTGCAGGAAACACTTGCAGTGACCAATTATAACCAGAAAAAAACATTAAAAATGTTTTTAGTGAACCACACCTTTAATATACCTTATTCTAGTATATTCGCTATATTCCAAACCTTTTACTAATTTGGGAAAATGCAGCCATTTACAACAGGCCTTATGATATTTGAGGCTCTTTTCCTCCTTTGTGGATAACGTTAATGTTAGTTTCAACTTTTGCAAGTAAACGTTTAACTGAACGTCTACATGTTCATATGCATTTACATTTTTCACGAGGAACACCTTTAATTAAAACATTTCTGTAATATTTTCACTCATTTGCCAAACTATACTGCAGAATTCTTGTTTTTCTTTCCTCCCTTAAGCAGTTCATTTGAAAATGAGCTACACTTGTAATTTTGTGTATCTTGCCACAACGTATTAAATTTAGAGGTATTTATAAAGACTCTGCACCTAACTCCTACTATAATAATGTAAATATAAAAATATTGTTCTTCTAGTGTTTTTCTTGTTACCTAAGTTGTGAGCGTGTGAAGCCGAAGCCAACTTCCTTGATTGTGTAACAATGTTGATCAATAAAACTTATTTAGATTCTAGTTTTAATTTCAGAACTGTGTGGTACCTACGTGAGTAAAGCAAATAAACATAAGGAAATGGTTCAAAAATGAAGTCAACACATTAAATCAAAGGAATAAGAAAAATAATACTTTGCTTTAGAATGAGGCCAGAAAGGTCTGGAAAGATGCAGAGCTCTGAGCTAAACCGGGCCATTTATCTGCTGAAACACAGCATACAGTGTTATTTTGTTCATTGTTCCCATCCCATATTCTGTAATGTCTGTCTTTTTGCAGGACCTAATTGTTTTAGAAAAAATAAGAAAAATGCTGGGAGGATCTCCTTGATCAGAACTCTTCATACACTAGATTTAGATTATCGTTAAGCCCGTAGTCTGCACGTTAGGAAATTTGTAAATCACCTTAATCCAATTTAAGACTTCTTCTCCAAATACCAAAAACTTGAATGAACCCATCAGGGAACCCCTTCAACCTCTTAGTCCTTTACAACAAGAGAAAAGGTTGCTTAAGGTGTCCACTTATACCCTTGGAGCCTGCTACGCTTCAAGTTGTACAACAGCCATTCACTTGATTCATCAGGTCTATTTTTAGCACTAACAAGGCTATTTCAGTCCCGTCTTTACGTTGCTACAGGTCAAAAGGTCCCATCCAATCACAACTGTCCAATGCTAAAAACAGGTGTTAAGAGCAGACTGAAGGCAGACACCTTCAGATCTGACATCTACAGCCTGAAGAAGGGTGATGTAAACTTATTTATCCACAATCATTAGGCTGTCTGAACACAGGT